TTTCCCTCCATACCTCTCTTCTCCCACCTAGCCGAAACCTCCTCTTTTTTTTTTTTATTCCCCACCACCGCCCAAGCTCCACCGCCGGCCCAGCCACCGGCAGCCTTCCCTGCAACCCAGCAGCCGGCCGTCCCTCCCTCCCGCTCCCACAGCCGCCCCACTTCAGCCACCCGCCCACTTGTTTCAAAATTTGAAATCCCAGGCTAAGGTGTAAATGCTTTCCTATTTTACATCTTCCACTATTAAGGAATTGAACCTGATTTAATTCCCTCATTTAACGTGAGATTGCCAACGGCTAGGTGTCAAAGTAAATTAGGAAATCTTTCTAAACATAAACCTGAGAATCAATTCTCAGATTTGTTGATTTCAGAAACTTTTCAAGAGAGGCCGTGTCACTGTTTTGATTGCTCTCTTCACGCCATGGGGCCGGCCACCTCCCCTTTTTCTCTCTCCCCCGATTAATTCACAAACTCCACAAATTCAGCCGCAAGACACCTCTTCCGTTACAGCCCCCTCTCCTTTTGGAATCAATTTGAAAATCTCAAATTATTCCCCCCCCCTTGTATTACAACCCGAAATAATTTCAGGTTGCTGAGATTATTTTCAAGCCTCTCCAACCTAGCCGACTTCCCGCCGGCCACCTTCACTACTCCAACCCGCCTCCTTCCACTTCCCCTCCCCTTCTCGGACACTACCTTAACTCCGGGCAAGGATGCATGGCGGATCCAGAGCTAGAATGGGGGCTTGTGTTTGATGCCCACGGCAATCTCGACGTACTACGATCGCCATTCTTCGACGCGGGATTTGAATCCGACGAAGACACCGTGGGAGATTACTTGGATCGGATCCTCCCAATTCTCATCCAAGTTATTGATAGACAACGTCTGGACTACGAGTGGACCATCGACGGCCGACCTTCCACACCACCTCCACATCCGACGCCTTCCTCTTCTTCCCTACAGATCTCCGGCACCGTCGCCCTCGGAGTGGTCTCATCTCTTGTGTGGTTCTTTTTCTTCCAACAACCCTAGAAGTAGATAACTGAGTGTAGCCTCGAGGTGAAACAATCGCTTTGTTAACCGTTGGATTCTCGTTGGCTTTTCATTTGCACTACTACTTATTGTCGTTGTTATTTTATAAATCATGCTAATTTAGCGGTATTACTTGCCTAGATTTGGTTAAATTCCGATATCTTTCTTGAAGTTTCAATTAAGCAAATCATTAAGATTGAACTTTCACTACTTTAACAAACTCTTATTAATTTCTGAAATTTAAATTCCTAGTTTCACATCAAAATGTTGCATGAGATATTAAAAAATCATTTAACACAATTCTTATTCATATCACCTATGGTTTAGCTCTCTTATTTCCTAATCTTTTGAAGAAAAATTCATCTATATGTATATATTCTAGAAACATTAATTAATAATTTTAATTTTACAAGAACTAATTAATAATTATTAATCTTACATTCACTAACAATGCATTTCATATACTTTACAAATCTCCTTCTCTTTTATGCATTTTCTTAATTGCTCCAACTTAGCTATTAGTTTAATAATTCTCACTAATTAGAACTATAACTTATAGTTCTAATTAGTCTATGGCTTCGTTTGGGACGGCTTTTTCACTGCTTCTTAAAGCAGCTTTCTAGTACAAAAATTAAAATTTTTGTACTAAAAAACAGCTTTAAGAAGCAGTGAAAAAGCAGTCCCAAACGAAGCCTATAACATATGCAAAAGAGCATACAATTAGGCACCTCACTTTGAATATCCATTATAATCATCTTCATGACCAATCCAAAAGGTATTGGTTTAATATTGATCATTGATATAATCCTACTATAACTATAAACTCTTTGATTTTAATATTGGTCAATTTTCTATCATACATATTTTTATTAACTCCAACATACATTTGACATACAAATTGTTTGTTTAATGCACACCAAACAAATTCTCTTCACACTTCATCATAAGCCTAGAAAGATCAATAAAGCAGTATGAAAATCATTTCTCTACTATATATACTTATACATCAACAACCTGATGACAATTGCTTACATACTGGATCTTTCAAAAATAAAAAGACATTGATTATCCGATACTGAAGATTTTTTTTCTAAGTTCATGTTCCATTCTCTACCATTAATTTATCGGATGACTCATAACTGTCATTCATATATAATTATTGCAATTCTAAACATCTCCTTAATTCTTATACATTGATACTAAAAATTTCTACAATCATTTGGCATTCATTTAGCCTTCAAATTTTCATTAAATTTTTTTTTCAATCACAAAAATAATATAATTAATAAATTTTATATTACCAATCAGTATCACGTATGTATGTAAAACTAAGCAACAATGCATCTTCTTATGAGTTACCTTCATAATATACCTCATTATTTTGGTCATTAAGCTCTTGTGAAATAATTATGCTCAATCCATCAATAATATACCTCATTATTTTATTTATCAAGCTCTTACAAAATAATTTTTTCTTAAGATAATCACTTAAATAGCTTTTCAAAGTAGCATTTCCTCTTCTAACTAAGATCTCATCATATTTGCCTCTAATGCATTCAACATGTTCAAAGTTTTTAGAGTTCTTACACTTATTTTAGCTATATATATATATATTTTCTACTTCATTAGTATCTAGCCCATTATATAAATAATAAAAATTTATAATTATTGCTTTATAAATTTGTCTTTGTGCAAGAAATGGTTGTTGAGGTTTTTTTGTGCCAAGAAATTTGCTAGAAAACTATAAGGAGCAATGAAAAATACTACTGATTTTATTTATCTTGAAAATAAACATGAACAAGTAACATGGAATTGACTTGGTGGCATTAAGAATAAATGGCCTATCTCAAATGTTTATTGAAGTTTTAGGGCATATATGCTCAAGCAGTGACTAAAAATTTCCAATCAAAACAAAATAATACTAAGGGTTCAACATTAAGCCTAAACTAATTACATTTGTTAACGAATACTTGCAATGGATAAAAGGGATTTCAATTTAGTTGAAATGTGACAAAACTAGTTAACTTCAAATCACAATCTAATTACATGAAGGATCTTTTCTCATTATTTTCGAAAATATTTGCAAAATATATTCGAAGTGAGGTATCATAATGTACACTATTTGCAAGTGAAAATTTTTGTCACAAAATTTTTAATAATGAAAGCAAGTGAAAAGTTAGAATAATGAAAATTTTTAAAAGATGAGAGGGACTTTAGGGAGAATATGGCAAAGTAAATCAATTAACAAAATTTAAGTGATGGTAAATTAAAGATAAAGTGATATATTGCTATTTAATGCTTACATACCTTAGATATGTATACAAAAGAATTGGATATAATTAAGCAAGCGAGTTTTAGAATTAATACTAAGTGGTTAAAATGAATAAATAAATATGCAATAGTAGATTAACAGGAAGACTTAAATTTAAATTTTATCAAATAGCAATTAAATCAAACTTGCAATATGGAATTATGGATTATAATGAATGGTAAACAACATAACACAGTATTGAGTGGAACGATTCGGAATGTCACAATTCATGTATGGTCAAAACTAGCAAGATGATTATATTAGAGATATAGCTGGTAATAACTAATGAAATTATATGCTGAAAAGAATAGATGCTTTGGCATATATAGCGTAGAGTAAAAGTTGCAATTAAATAGACTTCATGTGAAAGAAATGAGGAAGAAAAAATTGTTTAGAAAGTTAAGGAAAAAAAAGATCCGCACCCGCAAAGTATATTCTTCAGGTTCATACATTAAAACTGTTCCTGTTAAGCTATTTTTATTAGATATATAGACATTAATTTTTATCTTAATTAGAGTGCCAAGTTGACACAACAGGAATCTTAATGGGCCTGCTAATTATTATCACTTTGGAATGCCGTTACAATCTTAGCTTATTAGACCATCTCCAACCGAACGCCAAACGAGCGTTTGGCATCGTTCGGTCGCTCCAGCCGTACGCCAAAACGTCCGCCATTTGCTTGCGGGTTCACTCACGCTATTTTCCTCTCTCAACCGGAAAAGCGCGCGAAAGGAGAAGTATCGTTACCTTCGCGCATAAGCAAAAAAAATGGCGTTAGATTGGAGCATCACCACTCCATTTTTTAGTTTTGCGGTATTTTGGCGTGAAAAATGGAGTTCTCCGTTGGAGATGCCCTTAAAAAGTTGAAATAAAATGAAGGTCAGAAAATTTTGAAACAAGCAAATAAAATGCAACAGAAAGCAATATAGACAAGCTTTAACTGAAAGGATACCAATAATGGGCAGCCTTATTAGAAACCATAAAACAATGAGAAATAAACTTCTTGACAAAACATCAAGAGGTAGTAATCATTCGGTGACACTAAAATTCTGTTTTTTTTTTTTACAGACAAAAGAAATTGATCTAAAACCCCTGTAGCCATAGCTACGGAGAAGGATTCCAAATATGCAAGTTGATTACACCATCATTACATCAGGCTGTAACTGAAATCATTATTGAAATTTATTTTCCGCGTACCTCCTCTGAGTAAGAATTGATCCTTCATGCGCCTGCTGCTGATTAACAGCATTCTCCAATGAGGCCCTATTTCTCATATCTCGATGGAATTCTCGTATATCTGTAGTCAAGTCGCTCTCTTCCATATCAGGTCTAGGAGGCCTCCTTTTGTCCATCTTCACGTCATAATTCCTCAAAGCCGCCCCACTCATCATCTTCTTCCTAACAAGTCCTCCATCTCCCCGTTTCAAATCCTTCTCAGAATCCTCCTCATCCTGACTAAACCTTGGAAATCTCAAACCTTCCACCCTCCCACCACCTTTACCGTGAAATTTCTTCAACAAACCCCCCTCCAAACGAACAACGGAGTCATCCTCATCCTCGTCGCTAGAAGAATTCCTACTCCACTTAGAGTAATTTCTGCGATGCTCAAATGAACCAATTGACGCTCTTTTTTCCGTCACAATCTTTCTGAGATCAAGGGGTCGCGAAGGAGGAACATTAGAAGGACGACCATGAGTTCGGGATCTGATTGGACCATCATCCTCGTTCCATAGATCCTCGGCACCCTCTTTCATGAAGCGATCGGCAAGGGCCCTGATATGATCCTTGGACGACATTCCGCCAGCGCCAGGGGAAGAGCCTGAGAAATCATCGTACGAAGATTTTCCGGCGATTTTGGCACGTATTTCAGTTCGGAGCCTTGCTTGATATATTTGTTTCTCCTGCTGTAGCAAGCGGCGCTCCTTCTCCCTAGCAAGCTTCTCGTGCATGCGCTTATACTGCCACTTGTTGAGGCCGCCGGCGAAAGTGCGTGGTCCTCCGCCCATTGTACGTACAAGGGAGAGGTTGCATAGGAGCTTCGGGAGAGATTTGGAGCGGTGGCGGAGTGCGCAGCAGGACATGGCTGTGGAGCCGACGATAGGAAGGGTTTAGGGTTTTATTCGTAGTACTGTATTCGTGACCATTAGCACAACAGCAAGCTCCAACTAGGGGTATAAGTGAGCCGAGCCGGCTCGAACTCGACTCGTAATTTTCCAAAAAAAAAAAAAAAACATATATATCACTTGTTATTTACATATCTAATACTTATGACTTATAATATATGTCTATCACTCATATAACAAATATAGGTACATAGAAAAATATTAAAAATTATATGGTAGTATGAAAACATTATTATGTGTGGTCATTGAACGGCCGAGAGGCGAATCATAACGCGCAATGTCATTCGGTACCAAGTAGTACACAGAAAAAATGATGCAGTGCGTTCTCATTCATCTATGGATGCCATTCGGTGACCCCACACAAAAATTTTTTCGATTATATGAGTGATAATAATAAAATATATGAATTATATATTTGATATTAAATTTGTTGATATTTATTATTTAAAAGTTTAATGTTTTTTGCATTCACATCTTTTTTAGTTTTAACTTTTTTTTCAAAAAAAAAAAAACAATTGTCTCATATTATGAAGATTTATTTGATCTAAATTATTTATGAATCACGTCGATATAATTATAATGATGATACTTTATTTTTGTTAGTGTAAATCCCTTTGATATGATTAAATTTGTATTCCATTTAAATTATGAAGGAAGTGTTAATTGATTTTAATCATATAAATTATATCAATTTTGAAAAGTATATCCAACTCAAGCTCTCATCATATATATTATAATAATTATAAGTACTTATTGCATTGTTTTTTAAGTTGTCTTTTCATCTCTAATAGGAGGATCCGTTTATATATCATTAATGACTCTCTCAACATTTGAGTGTGTGATCCATAACTTTCAAGTAGTGGAGAAATTATTACGTACGGAGTCAGGACGTAACTCTACGACTCGACTCCAATGAAATAATGACACGTTTATTTAACAGGTGAATTTTTAATATATATTTTTTATAGTTTGTCTCCCGATGATCCAAACCAAGAAATTCAATTGACACTCAATTTCATGGTTTTATTGGAGTTCGGACATAGAGCTACATTTGGCGCTCATTTTCACGATTTTTTTGGAGTCCAGACATAGAACTACATCCGAACTCCCCATATAATGGTTTCTCTAAGTAGTGACATCTTTTTAGCTCAAAAGAGTACAACTTGACCTTACGCGGGTCGAACCAACGGCTCATTGGTCTAAAGGATAAATCTTTCAAGCGATTCGCATTCGATTCATCTGAATACTTGACCTTACTATGCCATTGGCATAAGAAAAATACTAAAAATATCTCAATCTAATTTGCATTACAGTCACACTTAGAGCATCTCCAACTGAACGTCAAACGTGCGTATAACGTCGTTTAGTCGCTCGAGCCGAACGTCAAATCTTCCGCCATTTACTTGCGGGTGAACAGTGTGATGTCAATATTGGCGTTGCACTGTTCACCTACGCTATTTTGTTCTCTCAACCGGATTTGGCGAAAAAACGCATGAAAGGGAAGAATGATCGTTACCTTCGCAGAAGCACCTAAAAAGAAGTTCGATTGGAACAAAATTACGTCATTTTGGAGTTCTACTTTATTTTGGTTGGAGATGCCCTTACTCATTCAAGAAAGAGCGGCTTTTTGTAATTTAAATATGTAAGTAGTTATTTTTTTTTTTTACTAGGCAAGAGTTCATGAGATATTTTTCTTTTATATCAAAAATTTAATTTTCTTTATACCATACATCAATTCATTTAGTTATTTTATTTTGTTTAAATTATCGTTCATAAAAAAGAATACCAAAACTACTATCTATCATCAATTCAGCTTCTAGCAAATAATAATCTTTTTTCTCTATTTCTTAATGAAAATAAATTTATCCAATTTCTTTAAAAAAATTTAATAATATTCATAATAACTTTCAAACAAATTATTTTTTATATAATTCTATAATTATTTTTGCAAACAAATGCAACCATCACAAGTAAGCCCATAGCTGTAGATTAGATCCGGATTCTGGCTGAAAACAAAAAACTACTCTATGGCTTGTCCACATTTTCATCCATTGAATGTGTACATCTCTTACTATTAAGGCTTCATTTAGGAAAATTTTCTTCTTGCCAATGTTTTGAAAATCGGATCGAACCGGCCGATTCAACCGTGAACCGATCTGGTGACTGGTCTGATCCAGCCTACAGAACCAGCTTCGCATCAAACCGGCGGTTCAACCAATGAACCGCTAAATCGGCCCAGTTTGGAAAGAACTAGCCGATTATATAAAAAAATTATTGAAAGCAATAAAAAAACAATAGCCAAACAAAAGTTCTTGTTGCAATGTGAAAACAATAAGACAGTTATCCCAAACAAATCCTTAGCGGAAAGCTCAACCCTACTTACCTTGCCCAACTACCAAATAACATTACAAGTTCTTAAGGATTAAATCTGCTTCTTCCATAGCAGGAGCATAAAAAGGAAATTATTCGTGAAGTTAAATAGAATGTCAAAATAATGGAAAATTATTAGGTGCGGAGACCGGACGTCGAGGTACGTTCGGACTCCAATAAAATGTTGACATGTGGAGTTGGATTTATTTTTAACTTTATATATTTAATGTGTCCGCGGAACTTTAAGCCAAACGCATCAAAAGCGCAGTCAAAGCGTAGGTAAAGCGCAGTCAAAGTGTAATAAAAATACAACAAAAGAGCAGTCAAAATGCAACTAAAGTACAACTAAATGGCAGGTAAAACGCAGTCAAAAAACGCAACAAAAGAGCAGTCAAATTGCAACTAAAGTGCATGTTAAAGCGCACAAAAAGCGCAACCAAAGTGCACTCCACGTGTCAAAATTTAAGTGGATGTCCGGATGTACCTCTACGTCCGATCTCCACACCAAATAATTTTTCCAAAATAACATGGTAAGTCATGTGCTATGGAAAAAATGGACTGTTGACCAAAGTCTCAAGCATACCGGACAATAACTGGAAGATGAAAAAAATCTTCTCTATTAAGGAAATGACAAGCGCAACGTAAATTGTTCACAAAAAGCTAATTAAAAGTTTAAAACAGTTAAATGGAAACTGGTTTTTTGCCATTTTTTGTTTATAGAAACTGCTTTGCCAAAACATCTATGAGAAGTTTAGAGAGTATTACATCAAGAATCAGAAAGAACTTCAGAGGGGAGGCAGAAATGAAGACCCAGAGATTATCTGATTCAAGATTATTCTCTCCATCCACCGAAGTTCTCCTCATTATACCTGCCGTGATTATCCTGCAAAGTTGAGATAGGGGTAAGGATTGATGAGCATCAAATGCTTAATGGAATCACTATGAATACTAAAAAAGAAATAGAATTGGGAAGCAGTGCTCATAAACATCAATGAAGCAGATTCATTTTTCACTCTTTTTTTTTTTTTGGTGGTAATATCAGAAGCAGCATTTAATTTCTAAAAAACGTTTGATTGCAAAATACTAACACATATTTGGAAACAAGACATAATTAGAATATTCATAACATATTTTAGGATGTTTAAAAATCAAGCCTTACGCGTTTCCTGAAATTGGAAATATATTTATGATTACCATTTTTTAAAATTATTGATCACGACTTATATTTTATAATTATAGCACAAATTGGACCGTTATGAATGTTGCCATAAAGCTACCATTAATCAAAATCTAGTGTAAAACCTTTATTTCATTGTTCTTTCAACTTGCTACCTCACAAGAAATAATCAACATTGATTAAGGCTTCGTTTGGGACGACTTTCTTACTGCTTCTTAAAGCAACTTTATAGTAAAAAAAATTATACTAAAAAGCTTCTTTAAGAAGCAGTAAGACAGTCATCCCAAACGAAGCCTAAGTGCCTACAAAAAGTTTTGACAATTGAAGCCAATTTCATCACTATGCAGTATGCATTAGAGGATTTATAGAATTACCAAATTCCAAATTCAAGCTACCCTACTTGCAACACACAGCACAAATTTTTCAAAAATGAAAAAAGAGCTAGTATTTTGACCATCTATTTCTACTTTCTCATAAATGTGTATAATTGAATCAATAGTTCACGTATTATGTACAGGATGTCTGACCACAGGAGCACATAATCATTCTTAGTTATTGTAGGCCATTATCATAAGCAAATCCTATAACCACTAGCAATAATTTAGTTTAGTTTAAATTCTGTTCTCATTTTTCTAGCTAAGTGCATAGTAAATTTTTGAGGCAGTTGAATTGAGAAGAAGAAATACCTCTGGAATGAAGGTGAGGCCAATTTTAATTTCTCCACGATATTCCTCATCCTTCACCACATTGTATACAGTAGGAGGTATCCTTCCTTCTGAAAAGAGGGGCTCTAAGGGAATTCTGTAAACAAACAAGCATTATGTCTCAATAGAAGAAAAATATTAACAACAATTGTATCATAAAATTGCCGTAGACCTGGGCAGTTAAATAATTTTTTAAACCAAAAAAAAGAAAAAAAAAAACTTGATGGATGTGCATGCGTGAAATCTTGAAATCATACTACGCTAAATCAATTGAGCTTAGATATGAAAATAAAACAGAGTAAGAATCCTCACTTGGCTTCTCCAACAAAATCATCTGAGAAAGTATCACTATCCATCAATTTGATAGCAAGTTCTGGAACATCATCAGAGACATTGAACACAAAGGTTTCATTCCATTCAGGCTCGCTCCCTTTGCCTGCACAAACAAAAAGCCAACCAGTGAAATGAACCTAGCAAAGCAAATTATGACAATATGACTCAGTTAAACCTTTACAGCCCAGCATGCACAAAGGATTTTTTTTTTTTTTTTAAGATTTGAACATCAGACCTTTCCTTTTGAGGCAACGCAAGGAACAGTACCACAAGATTACATGTGAAGTGGCTGCTTAGGACCGTTATTGCTATCAATTATTGATTCAAGAGGCTCTCAGGCATGTTTAAATACAACAACAATAACAAGCTTTTATCCAAGTACGTGGGGTTGGCTACATGAATCATTTTTCTCTATTATGTCCCATCAAGAGTTGGCTACATGAATCATTTTTCTCTATTATGTCCCATCAAGAGTCAAATTCTCATTTAAATATAATAAAAATGTCATTTCTATAAGCGCTTTTAACAAAGTTATATTAAAATTATCTCTATCTTTTTTAACATAAGTCGGATCTAATACATATACTCTCCTACCAGGATGCCAATATTTTATGTGACCAAACCATCTAAGGCTACTCTCTCTAATCTTATATGCCACTGGAGCTACTCCAACATTTTCATGTATATACTCATTTCGTATTTTGTTTCTAATTGTAAAGCTACTTGTCCAACTGAGCATCCACATCTCTACAACACTTAATTTAATTTTATACTTCCCTTTTAATGGCCAACATTCTATGCCATAAAGCATTGCAAATCTCATCATCGTCTTATGAAATTTTTCCTTAAGTTTGAGGGGGCGCTTTTCTATTACACAATAGGCCCCATGCATTCCTCCATTTCAACCATCCAATTTGAATTCTAGTAATAATATCCCATCTACTTCACTATGGCTTTTAACAATAAACCCAAGATATTTGAGTGTTTACATAATTCAATTTAAAAGAATTAAATTGCAAATATGAATTTAAGTACATAAGTGCAGGAATTGCAATATAAATTTTCAAATAAGAAGGGGCAGCAAAGTAGAGAGAGAGAGAAAGAGAGAGAGAGAGATGAGAGAATCAAGAAAACTAACTAGTAATCTCTCCATAATTTTCTCCGCTACATGGTTAGCCATCTTTTTGGCAGATCCAAGAGATTATTCTCTTTAATTAACTTGAGCTACTTATTTTCATTTCCAACTTTTTAAGCTTTGAGATAGGAATGTGACACATCCATAAGCTTAAACTAATTTAGAATGTCATCAATAATTTAAATAAATCTATGATATCCATGGAAAGGTTTCCTAAAACTGTGCATTTAATTGAATTGTAGAAAATTTTGGATTAGCAACAATTTTGTATATCTTGTAATGTAAACACTCATGCAAGAAGTAAGTTCCTCCCAATACTTTTTTCTCTAAAATATCCAGCCAAGGAGGCCTTGCTCATAATTCAATAAAATTTCTGGGAGAAAGAAAATAATTCAATAAAATTTCACCATAGAAAACTTAATTCTTTGTCCTAAATATTTCCTATTGGTTCCAAAAGACTTCTCCATACCAAACCTAAATCAATTGGTATTAGGATCATAGCTCAAACCCATAGGAATATCATTATAGTTTGTGTGAGACTAAGAGAAACCTAGACAGATCAATCAAGACAAAAAAAAATTAATCGAAAGAACATAGCCTTAATAAAATTTTGAAGAAATTACAAACCTTTCATTACTTTCAATAATCATATGTCCAAACAAATAATCAACCATATGAATACACAAGTCTTATATATCTCGATCCTAGATCAATCATTATAATTTTTTTTTTTTGCAACTATTTGAGATGGAATTTATAAATGCTAGATTCTTTTTTTTTTTTTTCTAGATTCTTTTTTGTTGAATACACCTAAGTGCTTCTTTTTTTCCTAAGATTCAAACCGTAAACCTTCATTTTGGAGGTATAAAGAAACACAACTAAACCAAGCAATTGATAATTAGTGCTTCTAAAGTATTAACTCTCATTTAGCTATCAAACATTTGGTCATTTCTTTTTTTCTTTTTAATTATTTCATATTAATTATATCTCAATTTCTTATGGTTGAATATTCTACACTCTAATTGAGAATCATCTACACTAAGTCTATTTTATAACAAGGGGTTTTGCTAAAAAATAAATGTAAAATAAAATGAAATACAAAACAAATGCAATGTATTTGAAATATTTAAAATTGTTTGATGAGTGTAAAATAAATACAGTTGATTAATTTTTTGTGCTTGGCTTAAAGTTAGATGAATGTAACCTAAAGCTCAATGGCGCTGGTGGCCGATGTCGACTTAGGATTTGTGGCCGGTGATGGCGACAATAGTTCATGGTTAATGGCAATTGACAAGTAGTGACAACAAATGAAGCTTTACTCTTGTGGTTTATTTGAAATTCACCCAAATTTAAGCAAATTCAGAATATATTTAAAATGAACTAAATGATGAATTTCAAATATTTCAAAATTTTACTATGCCTTCATTTTGCTTCAATTCAAACACCGATATGTTAAAAATCCTGGCATTTGTAATAATTTACGCCCTTTTTACATCAACCAAATTGCCCCTAAATGATTCATAATAGTTGTTGTTTTATTATTTTTTTAATATAATCCTTTCTTTCTTTATTATTCCACACATAAAACAATAACAACATTATTCAAAATTTTCCACACTCAACTAGCTAATAACAGCACTAGTGCCCAAACTCAAATGCAAAAAACTTACCCAAATAAATTGCAGTTTTATAATACTTGCATTTGGCATACATGATATTATCTTATCACATGGTAATCAAGAGAAACTTCTTCATTTTAGCTCTAATTTTCACTTTAAAAATTATGTTCTCCTCGATATCCCCAATCTTTTGTAGGAATGAATATTAAATACCGTTGGAAACTAACATTATTGCTTTACCAAGTAAGAATAGAGATTGTTTTTCACTTGGATGAAAATTTTAATACAAAATTTATCATAATCTGCATACGGGATCAAACTTTTCACTTCCAAGCAGCTTCATCCACAAAACGCCTGTTATGTTGTTTGATGCTGTCACATAAAGGCCTCAAAAGTGAAAGTGTGAAACCTTTGTTGACACTTTTTTCAAAAACAAAATCAAGCGTTCCGTTAAAGAAATCTTCTCTAAAAATTGTAGGGCACAATGATTAATAAATGTAATAAATATAAACCTGTTGCGGTACTGCTTCTCTGCTCCTGAGTACGACATATCAGGATAGCATAAGGGTCCATATTATCTGTTTAGCAAATGCACAAAAAGGTTATAAAGTATCACTGGGTTGAAAGAATTAAACGATGATATTAAAAACATGGAGTGAGAAATTATTGTACTCAAGCCCTAAATAGATTGGCAAATTAGATATTCAAAGATATAAAAAGAAATCATGTAAATCTGGACATGCATTCTACCTCAAAAATAAAAAAATAAATAAAATAATATGATCCTTTAGTCCTCATCTAGCCTTGCACATGATAATAACTTCATGCTAAGGGGGCTTCAAAAATGTTGTGCATCAGAAAAGCTCTTCAATGTCATCCATGCAGAAACATTTTCAAGTTTAAAAAACTGCTAAATTTAGCATTCTATTATGACCATTCTCTATTGAAGAAATTTGTAAATAAAGGTGCAAAAAAATACACGTGTACATAAAAATACATAAGTACATGCTCATAAAAAATCCCAAGAAAGTGGATGTTATAATATGATTACTCCAGCAGATACATAAAACCACCTTCATAAGGAATATATATGACAAATGTTACCCAGGGTCCAAAAGACTCATGCATGCAACCTCATAGACATTTCCCTTGCAAGCCCCACATAACTGACCTGAGTTAATTCTGAAAATCCTGGTATCTAAATAGTCTAGGACAAAATTTTGGCATTTTAGCGTAATGAACGACTTTGTTATGTCAATGCTCTTTCTAATTTGCTTTAGATATTCCGGGATCACATTTGTGAGAAAATGTGATATTCAAATAGTTATTAACAAATTAAAGGTGGCATAGACAATCTAGAAGTGGAGAGATTATTATGTGCGGAGACCGGACAAAGTGAACCGTTTGGTTTTGTCTCTGTGAACAATAAAAACACAGTAGTTCACAGAGACAAACAAGAAGGTTCTCTGTGTCCGGTCTCCGCACGTAATAATTTCTCCTAGAAGTAACATACTAATATAAAAACCAAATCACATAAATCTACTTTGGGATATCAAGTGAGAATGAAGAACTGATTACTGTTAAAACAGGTATAGACTAGAAAATGTGATATTCAAATAGTTATCAACAAATTAAAGTTGGCATAGACAGTCTAGAAGTGGCATACTAATATAAAAACCAAATCATATACATCTACTTTTGGGATATAAAGTGTGAAGAAAGAACTGATTACTGTTAAAACATAAGGTATCTACCTATAACTTCTAAATTGGCATAGATAAGTTCAGATCCGAATCCAACCACATTCATAGTTTGAATAGACAGTAGGGATATTCACGGATTGATTTAAACATTACAAATCCTAGCTATGTATACGAAAGACAAGCGAACACAGCAATGCTGAATTATGGGATCGGTTTGACCTTAACAGCAAAGTAAAAAACTAAGACCTCCACATATAATATCCTCAGTTCAAATAATTGTATTACGTATCAGTTTTTACAAATAATTTGAGACAAGTAACCTAACATGATGGTCAAATACTTGAAGATATCAAGCTCTTCATTTATCAAAAATAAAAAACATGAACATGCAGACATCATCCCAGATTTCCTAACAGAAAGTAGGAGATAATAAAAAAATGAAAAAGAAAACAATCTTCACTTGGTATCCTATTTTAGATAATATTTAAGCAAAGTTCATCTTAAATCCTGCCAAACAGATTTTCGAGGACTTCAATTATTGATGTTTTGATAAATGTAGTTGCAGCCTGTTATTGACTAAATCCAGAATTTGTTATGTCCGATCATTAACAGGATTTAACAGATTTAAGAATTTACACATCTCTCAAATCTTAAATTCAGAAAAAAAAAAACAAGGTTTAATTTTTGTCATTTCAAACAATTATCAGCTTTTAATCCATTAATTATATTTATCAAATCATATGTAAGCTAAATCAAGTTAACCGATTTAACAGCTCGTAATTCAACCCTTTTTTTTTTCTTTCATATCCTTTCTAGATCAAAGAAAGATGCGACGAGTAAAAAAACAATCTGGAAACGCATTTGGATGACTTGATCTAAGGCTGATCCATTTAATTTACGGACAACTCTCCAATCCGTTAGTGAAATTAAGGTAAAAAAAAAAAAACAGGGAAAAAGACGAGCAAAATGAATCTTACTGAGAAAGTCAGTGTCATCGAGGCCCTTGGCCCCCACAAGAAGAACCTCGAGAGTACCCCGAACCATCCTGTTCGCTCTCAACGAGGCAACCACGATCTTCAACCCCGAGATATCGGATCGGAATCGCCTTCGTCACTTTCGATCCGATCCCGATGGGATTATTTATAGTGGGGAGATAAGTCGGAGAGAGAAAGAAGACCATCATTTTATAATGAGAAGGAATTTAATTTTGTAGCTGGTGATATAAATAGTTAATGGTGTGTGCCGCTGACTCTGTCCAGCTTTAGGCGGTTGTGGCGTCTCCATTTTGGGGTGATAAATGCCGCCGCACCTCCGACCACCGGCGGCGACGAAGAGGAACAGAGTAGGAGAAAATTTTTTGGCACCAATGGAAGTTTTTGATCAAATTTCCCTTTTTTTTATTCGTTGGCGTGTAGCCACAAATTTTGATATTTTAATTTTAGTATTTGTGGCTCTTAAATACAATTGAATAATGATTATGTTTATTATTTTAATATTTACATTTGAAATAATTAGATTAGTTGGGTACAAATCATGATAAGTAATCAAATTGAAAATTTTCAAATTGGATTTTAAAATCATTTGAACTCTAATTTTAATAAATATATAAACGAACTAAACATCTCGATAAGAAGAGCCTAACAACACCAGAAGTAATTCCATCCGAGTCCGAATGAACTCTTATCTTGACGAGCAATAAGAAAATTTGGGACATTAATTGGAGCATCATAGTATCTCCAATGATTAAATACTTACAATAACAAATATGCTCTTCCAAATTTCCCCGCATAATATGTTCTACATTATATAGTTAACTACATTGTGCCAACATCTTCCTCTAATGAAGATCATCATTTCTAAATAATGACAAACATTAATATAATCGGTTAAACTAACCAAGATTAATTGTTTATCCCATTTTTTGACTCTTTACGTTCAAGCTTGTCTCTCTTGATTATAGATTGTTTTTTATTTTATTTTATTTTTTAATAGATTGTTCATTCATCATTTAAGTGCATGATTATAACAATAACAACATCATAAAACATTTATCCTACTATGTGGGGTTGGCTACATGAATCATTTTTCTCCATTATGTCCTGCTTAGAGTCAAATTCTCATTAAAATCTAATAAAGAAATGCCATCATGTCTTTTTTAGGTCTACCTATACCTTAACATAAATCAAATCTAATACATATACTTTTCTAACTGGGTCATCGGAAGTCCGTTGTTTTGTGTGACCAAATCATTTAAGATGAACGTCTGTTGGCATTCCAGCCTTCCTTCTCCTCTCTCTATTCTTATCTTCAACTATAGCTACTCCAATCTTTTCATGTATATGCTCTTTTCATATACTGTCTCTAAGCATAAATCCATCCATCTGCCTGAGCATCCTCCTTTGCAACACTAACTTAATATTTTGTTTCTATTTTAGTAACAAATATTCTGCATCATAAAGCATTGCAAGTTTCACCACCATCCTTTTAGGATGCTAATCTCACTAAAGTCAATCAAATACTCATAATCTTTATTGAAAATTTTAGTAAAACATCTCATCTAGGGATGTAAAACGAGTCAAGTCAAGTCGAGTAGTGGCCTTATTGAGCTTGGCTCATCGGTCAAAAAATCAACTCAAGCTCAAGGTCGAGTTCAAGTCGAGCTCAAAAGCTGAGTTCAAACTCAACTTGTCCCACTATAAGCAAGCTTGAGCAAGCTTGGGAGCCTTAGGCTTCGTTCGCAGTTCGGTCGTCTTCAATTTTTCTTATTTGAAGAGAAATAATATGAGTTTTATTATATTCATTCTTATAAGTGAAGAGATATTCATCTAATTTCTTAAATAAGGTATTCACAAATATAAAATTATAAGCTAAAAAAAATAATCTATTATGATCTTATTACTTTTATTGGTCGTTCCAAACCCATAGCCACCATAAATACTTTAAAAATCATCTATCTCTCTACCAACATGCTCATTTAAATATCCTATAATAAAAATATTTTCTTCAAGAGATATAATTTGAATTAATTATTATAAGTCATTATAAAATTTTGATTTTAAACGCATATCCAAACCTATATGAGGAGCACAATCACATATAAAATTAATAATCTTAGAATGAACAATAATTTTTAAAGCTATAATTCTATCTTTATGTGTCTTATGGACCTTAGAATATAATAATACTGGGCTTGTTGGATTTATCTTATCAAGCTGCTTGATTTAACTTTAATCATGCAAAATTAGAATAATTTTTTATCCTTCAACCAATTCTCTAAAGCTTTTAAATTTACATCAATTATTTGATTCAGACTTATTTCAGTTATTTGCACTTAGATTATATCACATTGTTGGGTTCATGTTAATATGTTATCATGATGATTAATTTGATTGTAAATTAGTTGAAATCCGACTTCAAATTATTATGAATTTAATTTAAAAATTTTAAATATAAATATTACGTGAATATGAATACTAATTGTTGCGGGCTAGAATATACGCGACGATAGAGTTAGAATTTTTCATCAAGCGTTATACGAATATCTAGCACACGAACATAAGGGAAATAAAACATCAGGATTTTTATGTGGAAATTCTGGAAAGAGAAAACCCACAGGGCCACGCCTAGTTGAAAAGAATTTCACTAGTGTTTGCTTGAGGTACAAAGAGGCTGATTCGTCCTTAAAAATTAGGACGATCAAATTACAATGATCCACTCCTAAATTGATATTTAGTTACAAACAAGAATATGAGATTCATTGATGTTGGGTATTCAGGTTAAATCCCAGAGTCACTTGGAGATTAGATAAAATTTCGGTGTTACTTGGAGATCTAGCAGAGTTCCGGGGTCACAGGGAGATCGGGTGGAGTTTGGGTGTTACTTGAAACGATTAAACACGTTCAACGTTTTAGTGGCGGCAAGGTTTTAAAATTCCCGCTCTTTCCAAACATCGTAAAGGCCTTTTCTTCTTCGCTTGTCCTCAGGGCCTCAATCTCCATCTGCGAAAGAGAACGAGCAGGATGCAGATCCGTTTGAAATGCACTTGTCAACAGGAAGAATGCCGGGAATGGTCTATTATAGAGCTACAAGGAGTAGTGGAATCACATCCATCCCTTGTAGACCATCTCCAAAATCTCGAAATTGGCCGCCTCTGCTGTGTTTCCGAGGTACTTTTTCCTCTCCCTCCCCAATTCATTTCCGATGGGCAATGGTTTCATCTTTCTTCTAATTATCTCCGTTGCTTTCTATAGGGAAACTACACCTTTACAGTCGGCTACCACGAGCTCTCAGGGACGAAGATGGCCCTGAAGAAGCCGTTGCTAGTGCTGAAGAAGAAGAAGGTTGGAGATGCGTTCGAGTCGGATTCTTCAGATTCTTCTGGGGTAGAATTGGAAGTTATTGGAATAATTCGTCATCGAATTCTCTTCAAGACCCGGCCCATGGCTCTTATTTCAAGTAAGAGTTTTGCGTTTAACTTGTTTGATGAAATTTCTCTGTAAATAATATGCATTCGCTGAACTTTTTTTTGTTTTGTTTTGTGGAAATTTCTTTCAGAGCCGCTGGTTAAGGATAAGAAGAATCTTTAATTATCTGAAGAGCTAAAGGTTAGTTCTATCTTCAAATTGGAATTCATCGGACCTGTTACACCCAGGGTCCTCCTTTTGAATGTGCTAAGGCCATTTTGTTAACTTGCTTTGCATGTGCTGCAACTTATTTGTCTCAAATTTGCTTTCATAAGTACAGCTTGCTATCAAATTCAACTAAGAGGCGCATTTAGCTCTAAGTTTATTTTGTTGTGGAAAAGCAGAACAGTGTTCAAAGCTGTTGAATCATCATTATTTTGCTAATGATATTACTGTATGAACTGATAACCTTTAATAGAAATTTATCAGAAGTAATTTGTTTCAAATAAATAACCATCAGCACATGTTTAATTGATATTTAATAGTTATGGAAATCTTAACCAGCCATTTATATACAATTTATTTGTCTAAAAATTGATGATTATAAAGTTAATCATAATCAAATTTGTCTCATGATTAACAACCCAAAAGCTTTCCCCGCAAGGCCTCAACTGACAAGTAACCTTTGCTGTCTAATGTGTATGTTGTGTGTTAGAATTTCTGTGGCATTAGAAAGAATGAGCTTAGTATTTTAATTCTGTACAAAAATATAATACATACAAATTTAAAAGAGGATTGTAAGAGACATCAGACTTTTATGGGGAAAAAGCTTATAAAATGGAAAAAATATGGGGCTTGGTCTTGTTTAAATTATTCAATTAGCATTTATCATTAGTTATATAATAAACATAAATTATATAGAATGTACTTTATGGTTGAATTTAAAAGACTTTTGGTATGGCAGTTGTGATTAAGAGATTGCTTGTTGTCTATTTGGTTCTTCTTTAAGGAAAGAGGATTAGTGGCCAATAATTTAAATATCAATCTTGATGGTGATGTCATGGGAGTTGTGCATAAGAGATTATTTGTCGTCTATTTGGTTCTATTTTGAGGAGGGAGGATTAGTTAACAAGAAGTTAAATATAAATCTTGATGTTGATGTTAGTAGTTAGGAAGGTTGTAAAAATCGGACCGCGCAACGTACCATACGAAGAGAATGTTTATGGTTCGGCCGGATGATGAAATAAGTGCTAAAATTATTTAAATATAATATAAATTATGTAATAACTGAAATTTTAAATAAAAATAGTAATATAATATATAAATTCTAAATTATAATGGAGTGATAATGATTTTAAGATCATAATCACGCATGAGGATCAATGAATTGTAGTTAGATAATAGTGGTTGTAGTTAGATAATAGTGGTCAAAGAGCAGTAATTGGGTGATGAAGGTGAAAGGATCATAATTAGGTGTCAGTGGTTAGAGGATTATAATCAGTCAAAGAATTATAATTGGTTGAGGCGGTTGGAGGGTTGCAGTCAAGCGAAGCTAGTCAAAGGATTAGAGACAAGCGACAACGGTGGGAGGATTGTAGTTAGACGATGATGGTCGGAAAATTGTAGTCAAACGATCATGGTCGGATGATTGTAGTCAAGCAACAATTGTTAAAAGTTAAAATGATGAGATCCATTGCTAGTGATATGATTTCTATCATCCCTTTAAATAATGTTGTCAGGATATTGAGATCTATTTTCTATATATGATGCTAATTTATCGCGTGCTAGAAAATTCATGATAATGAAAGAAGAGTCTTCCGTTCAAGCATTGCATGAAGATTCATCAAGCACACATATATATACTAAAAATAAATGGGAGAAGAAATTTAGTATAAACATCAGAAGGATTTAAAGAAGAATGGTTGGAATATTCTTTATAATATTCATGATTATTTGATATAATTTAAAATTCTTATGGACAAATTAAAAAGTTAAGTTGAGTGCTTCATTTTCATCCACGAACTTACTGATGTAATGCACCTCATATTGAATCCATTCAACATTAGGAATATCTAAAACTATCAATATGTCCTCTCAAGTATGAAGTAAAATTGATAGCTCTTTGAATTTTTCTCATTTTTGTGAAGACCTCAGACATTTTTGATAAATAACTCACTTAACCAACCCAGCCCTTTATGAGATCATTGGTCATAAACTAACCATCGGCCCCTATATGAGATATATCCATAAACATCACATGTAATCTTGTATATTTGACTAGTATTCTAGTGTTATTAGTTCTCCATATTCTCTAAAAAATGTAGTCAATCCAACAATAATTGTGATAGCCCAACGTAAAAGTTAATATAGGTAAACCTTGCAAAATATAAAAGTATCAATCAACTTAAAAGCTATGAAAAGTCAAAGTCTTGCTCACAAAATCATCTCATGGATAGTAACATAGCTCGATTGAATCCAACATGAGTTATAGCCATCAAATTTTTGAAAAAATGGAATGTTTTATAAGAATCATCAAAGCATCATTAGAGATGATAGATGTCACATCTTCAACTCTTGTTAATCTAAGTAACTTCATTCAATTAGCTTCTTGTGGGCAAATTGGTTGAATTTCTTTAGATGTGAGTTTTAGGAGGTCTTAATGTTTTTTTCATTCTTCTTTGATTGGAGTCTAAAAGTCACCTAATTCTCCAATATTACAAGGAGTATATGAAATATAAATAGAAAAGTACTAAGAAATTGATTTATCTAATTTTGTTATGATTTTTATTTCATGTAAGTAATATAGTGTAGAAATGATTAACCAATGCTCATTCAAGAATTTTTAGAAAATATATTGAATAAATTCATTATTTTTTTTATGAGAGATCTAATTCTCAAGGGCATCTCTAAAAAAAATTCATCTGATTTGGAGTAGATATGAAATTAGAAATACAAAAGGGCAGATTTTAGTATTTTACAATATGATTGTTCAGAAATTTACTACCCCACAAATGTCCTTAATTTCATATGAAAAAAAAATCAAGATAGTGGGAAGAGATGTTATTCCCATTAATGAAAATTTTCAAAATTTTTTGATATATTGATTGATTTTAGAAATTTATTGTAGCAAAAAATGTCACAATTTTAGCAACATAATATTAAAAAATAAGTAAATAATGATAGATTTTTATACTTTTTTTTTTTGAGAAAAACATATAGGCACACATAGTCATCCAATAGAAAAATTGGATCCAAGATTTGAGGATATATGCAGAAAAAAGCAACAATAAATTAAAAAATGAATAAAATAGAGTGATGAGTAAAATTTTTGACATTTTTTTGAAAGTTTTCAGATAAAAATTTGGTGTCAGCTTTTTTTTTAAAATGTTATATTCAAGTGAAATTTGAGAAGAATTTTAATTTTTTTTGTAGCCTTCTGATTATTGTTTCTTTGTATTCTTTTGTATTCACCCCCTTAACCTACATATGATCTTTTTTTTTTTATTTTTTAAAATATAAAATTCCTTAGCTTTATAAAAAATTGAGGCTTTTTAAAACAGTTTTTTAATTATTTTTTTAAATTAAAAATTTTGTATTAAAAAGTTATTTTCGAAAGCAATGCAAAAGCTATTCCAAACGAAGCTTGAGATTTCTGCAAAATTTTGTCTATAGGAAATTTGAGAGTTCCCACCACCAAACCTCTCTCATGTAAAATTGAAAACGTAGATTTATCATTCAGCCATAGAAACTAAAGCCTCTAATGCCACAATTTAAAAATTTAAGTTCCATAATAAATTTAACTCGAATCACATCATTAATGCCGAAAACAATAGGAATGCAACACCGAATCAGACTGTACAATTGTAAAATTTGAGCAGAGAAGAAAACGCCTGGGCGAGTCATTGTTAGTGAACTAGTTTTGCTGGATTGAAAACAGTAATACAACCACCGATGAGAAGAGCCACCAGAAGGATGAAGAGGGCAACTTGAAAATTGAAGTTGAAATTTTTTGATTGTTTGGATGATTTGTTCGTGATGGAATGGCTTCTGTTCTTTGTTTTTTCAATGGATGATGAGGGATTTCCATTAACCAGATCCCAGAATGATGAAGCCATTGTTGGGGACGCAACTTCTGTTTCCAGTTCTAGTAATGCAGAGGATTCTACTGGAGTTTCCATAGACAACAACTCCCGGCAGCGATCTTTCAAGTCCTAGTAACCATGGTTGGGTTGTTCATAAGGTTAGCATAATGGAATCAAAATAAATATCAGGTAAAAGAGATTAGTGATAGAAACTGTGCATTTCTATGAACATAAAAGAATAACATTCTGATCATTTTAGTTCCAAAGCAAACTATGAAAAATATCAAGTTACATGAACAGATGAGATTTATAATTGTTCAATAAGGCTTTGTCCAAATGATAATAAACTTTACTAAAAAATGAGTTTTGAAGTAAGGGTGCACCCTGAAATGGAATTGGCCAGTATAATGGATAGTGTTAATTGATTGGTCCGGATGTTTAAAGTTTCATAGTTCGTCATTACTGACTTAAAAGTATTGTGAATAAGAAAATTTTAAGCATTTGATTGCCTGAGTATTTTTTGGTTCAAGCACAGTGCAGCATTCAATAAAGAAAACATCTGTGCTCTTATGGGAGAATTAATGAACAAGAATCAGCCATAAAAACAAAAATTTTCCCCAAAATTCATCAAAAAGGGAAGAAGAACAAACCTCAAAAGTTTCAGAAGGTAGCAGATAGTCACATATGAAGACATCAGATAACCACGGAATCAAAACTCTTCTAGGAAAGGTGAGGACCAGAGGTTTCCTGTTTCCATAACAGCCATTACATAGTACACAAAAATGCACAGCATCTTAATATAAAGGAATAAATTTGCAAGTTCAACGTTATTTTTACGGCCGATTCCTGCACCGCTAAGATTTGCAAGTTCTCTCTGTTATGGAAAAAATTTGCAAGTGCACAAAAAAGTACAAATTCAAACTTAATATTATCCAAAACTTAATATACCGCTAAGATTTGCAAGTTCAAATTTATTTTTATCTGATCAACTGCTAGGTTCATCACAAGGATTTACTTTTCTTACAGTTTCTTCAATTATATCCTACATCAGTAAATCAAGATGACTTTTCTAAGAGTATTTCTAGTTTTCTACCCATATAAAATCATTATTTGTAAAATTAAGCCATGCAAGAGTATTATTATATGTGGCGCAGCCATCAAACAAGTTGGCCAAACTCCAAAGCATCTCATGGTTGACACCATGAAAATAGCACAATAGCATCTTTAATCATTTTGGTGTCATAAAATATTAAGCTGATATCAACCTAGCAACAACAATGTAATAACTAATAAGCTTAATTATCCATGATAAACAGTTAGCAGATGAACCCTAGAAATGTCAACTAAATGATTTGTAAGGAGATCTTCATAATAGCATGTACTTCCACTACCTCAATTCATGCAAAAGAAGTTGATGGATGGGCTTTCCGGTAACTATTTCACCACATGCTTTCCTAAGATCATTAGAGGCCATGTCCATCGTATCTTCTCCCTCATCTAAAAGAATATCTAGCCTGCTTTTCAAGCTGTTTATGATATCATTCTGCACAGAAGAGCGACGGAAAGATGCATTAATATAATAGAAGCAATTGCTCGAGTGAATTTGGCTTTTGATTCCAAGGCTCAAAGTCAAGAAATTCAGAAAACAAAACGCAATCAGCACTGTCTACCATTGCTACTAGGTAAGCTGAACTCTCTTCATCTGTAATTATTTTTTGTTCAAATTTAAATTTAAACATTTGGTACTACAGAAATCAACATCAGAAAAATATATCCATAAGCATAGAATAAACTCATTACAAATAGTGGTGAAAATTTTGTTAAATATAATGATATTCATGTCTCTTTGTGAAAGAATAATCAACCTAATAGTAACAAAAGTTCATATAAGTTCCATGCCCCGAAAGTTCTTTATAAAATGCTACAAGCTGCTTTAATCTGCTTTTGCCAACAATTGATTGAGGGTTGTCACTTGAAGCAGTCACCAATTGATTGAGGGCTGTCACTACAAGTATAGGGAGCCAACCATTAATATTCTTCAATTTCAAAATGAAAATCATCATGTTATGTGGAACTAAACCCTTTCAAGCTAATATTCTCAAAAATATCTTAATTAGTCATCAAGGAAATATCTGATCTTAAGACTAACTTCTCTAGATTCTTTTTATTTTACCCGGGGAAGCAACTTGGTTTAGGTATCCTTCTAGCAAATATTTTGGGCTGCTACCTTGAATCCCTTCCTTTCAAGTACTTCGGCATTCCTTTGAGCACCAGAAGTCTTCAATGTGCATTTTGGAATCATTTTATTTTATTAAAAAATCCAAATGAAATTCTCTCCGTCAAAAGATAAATTCCTCTCTAGAAGTGTCTATTATGCTCATCAATTTCATCAATCTCTCTTTAAGCCTCTTTTAAAATTCCTAACAAGGCTATCAAATAGACAATAAGAACTTAGAAGCAACTTTTTTGGAAAATTACAAAAGTAGCGGTCTTATTCTTATCAATAAGAGGAATATTTATAATCATAAAGATTTAGGAGATCATGATATTAAAGACTTTTGTATGAAGAACTTGCCTCTCCTTAGAAGTCTATTCAGCCAAATAATCATTCTTTTTGTTGGTTCTATTATTCATGATAGAGATGTTTTCAAAGCTACTCACTTCTGCCTTAATATCTCTCGGAAGATTCATGATAGTAGACATTAATTTTTAGAAGGATGAAGGGAATAATGTGTCTCTCTTGTTTTCAATTTAATGACCTTTTCACCTTTAACAGTAATTGAAATAACTTTTTTGCTTCTTACCATTCAACTAGTTCTGGCTGGTATAGTTTATAGAGATAGATCATTCTTTTTCACCTTAAAAATAGAAAGAAGAAAATGCCCTCGTATCTTAGCAATCAATTTAATATCGATGATGCTGGCTTAATGGTTCATTTTTGTTACTTCCTTTTACTTATTTTTGATAGATGAGGGTGCGATAACTCCAATTTGGATTTGAGTTTGGAAAGCTATGTCCTCTTAAAATCAAAACCCTTATGTGATTTATTTATACAAGAAAAATTCCTAATAATGTTTATTTCTACAATAAGGGAATCATCAGCAATGCTTTTTGTGAAACATGTAAAGAAAAACTGGAAGATGATTTCCACATCTTTAGTTGTAAATCTATCTCTACTATTAATGTGAAATCTGTTTTCTCTAATTGAGGAGAGGCATACATCATGATGACTTCAAAGAGCTTTGAGAAAATTTCTTCTTTTCCAGCTACATTATTTGAACTAACAGGAATGCTTGAAGTTTTTCGGGAAGAAAATTTAAAAGGAGAAAAATGTTTGTTTAACTATCATCAACTTTTCTTATTTCACAATTTCTAATGCTAAAAGGAAGAAGAAAATTTCTATAAAAAATTCCATGAAAAAAAATCATTTCCCTTCTTGTCCCAAGCTATTGTCTCTGCATTCTTAGCTTCCTCCCTTCTGTCTGCTTTGCTTTGTTTTCCCTTTTGTTTTGTAATTGATACTAATTTTTGTTTTTATTAGTGAGAAGGGTTTGCCAGTTTTTATTTAAAAAAACTGTTTCACAACTGAAATACACTGTTGCTGCTTGTTCCAACATTACTTAATAAGGATGGTAGATGTCATCTATAAACAACTTTAGACTCATGTTACGTAGAAATTATTCTGTGCGGAGGCCGGACGCAGAACACCGTCCGGAGATTAACCAAAATGTGCCATGTCAGCGGTACCGAGCAGCGGTACCAAGTGAAGGGGTAATGTTGTACATTCTGGTTGGTCTCCGGATGACGTTCGGTGTCCGCACAGAATAATTAATCCACGTTAAGAGTGATGTAAAAACAATAAATTATTCTTGTAAATACCTTTAGATCAGATATAGCTTGTGAAGTAGGCTCTTTTGGACTAAGATATGCATAAGCACATATAGCTCCCCGAAACACTACCAGACCAGAAATATCATCTGAACTGCATGCTATGTAAAATGCATTGAATTAGCCCTTTTCAACAACAAAGATTTTACAATTTACAATGTACAAATAAGAACACTGCATTTTGCAAGTTCAACCCACCTTTCCTGTTGTGCATCACTCTTGAAGGGTAGAAGCAGCTCAACATTATGTGTGCCCGCAGAGCTGACTAGTTGATTTTCAGTAACCTAAATGGCAGTTTTATAAAAGAAGAGAGAAGATCAGTAAGAAGATTGCGTGCGGTAAGAGTATCTGCTCATCCTCGACAAAAAAATTTCATATTAAGGATGAACTGAACGTTCCCATGCACGACGGTGCCATCAACTACAATTAGAAGGCCACTTTTGTGACTAAAAAAGATCAAAAGGGTGACTAAAATAGATCCTCAAGTTTGTTGTAAACTCATTCACTTAATTTAATATCTTAGAAATACATGCAATTAAAACTTTTTTTTTTTACCAAAAAGTTGGTAAAAAAATTAAATTATAATTCATTGAATCATTCAGGTATGCTATACTACAGCTCACATGCCATTATCAATACATTTAGTTCCACAAAGTCACTAGGAATACACTCTTTCAAGCTTTTTCTTAATAAGTGGAATGAAATACAAAGAAATTTGGATACTAACCAATTTCCCATCCAATAATGCTCTAGCACTTAGCAGTTCTTTGGCATGACGAGAGATTCCATTACAAAGGACATTCTTGAAAGTATTTGATGTGGACGCCAAATCTTGAAAAACAGGTATTCTGCACCGGGAAGTCATTAAAAAGTAGAACAAAAACAAGCACACATCATGGACTTTATATGAATTAATAGAGGACTTCATGCAGTTCATCCTACCAAGAACTGGTAAAAGTTTATTTCTTGTTCTACTGCTAAACGAGGGAAAGAAACACAAAAGGTCACCACTTTTGATCACTGATTGATTGGAACTGCTAAAAATGACAAAACAAGATGCAAAAAGAAGATCAAGAATTCCAACATGCGTACCAATAAGAAATAACCACTTTTCCACTTTATTTAATTAAATCAAGTTAATTTGCAAGAAAAACCTTGTTTGAAAACAATTGAATTTGATTTAAGATTAAATTATATTAAATTAATCTCAAAATAAATTTAATAATCTTTAAGCCATCTTAATATAATTTGAACAAGGATATGTTGACATAATTTTTATTCTACAAAAACTTCTTGAGCATATCTGCTTCCAAAGCACATTTAAAAGAGCCACAATGTGTAGCTAATTTTCAAAAGGCTGCTAGTATTAATTGACCAATTTGGTTAACAACTATGGTGGCAGTGTGGTGCTATACCACACCTTTTTTTTTTCCCTTTTGCCACTTAAGATGGGTAAGAGTATATGTATATCAATAATGAACTGTTTGTCACAAAATATATTACCACCACCAATTCAAACACGTCAGGTTAAAACAACCAATTTACAAAAAAAAAAAAATAATAATGGTATGTAACATGTGTACATCTAAGTTACCATGGAACAGTAGTCCAAGGTGACAGAGAGCTCACCCATTCCATATTTTTAACTATGTTATCCCTCTTCCCCATTGTTTTTTAGGTGATCTAAGATGATGACCATTTCATTCAATATTATGAATGATTTGAGCATAAGGAGGGTTGACAGGGGAAGCGCTAATGAATGGAAATAAATTACCGACACCATGAAATCTTAATTCAAGAGTTCCAGCTGACGAAAGTTTATATAGTCAACATAGTTGAAAACTAAGATCCCCAAATTTGGTAAAAACATACATGTTGGCAATTTCATTGAGCTATGACTTAGAAAAGGATAAATATTATTATGAATGTTCTCACTAGACATTTGCAAGAGGATGTACCTTGGTGTATGCTTTTTACTGATGATATTCTTCTTGTTTATAAGACTAGAGAGAGAGTTGAAGGTAAACTTGAATTATGAAGGTCAACCTTAGAGTTTAAAGGATTTCATTTGAGTGGATCTAAAACTGAATATATGTAATGTAATTTTTGTAGTAATAGATCTAGTGGGAGGATTGTGACTTTGGGTGATCAAGTTATTAATAAGAGTATATGTTTTAGATATTTTAGGTCTATTGTTTAAAGTGATGGTGAAATGGATGGGGATATTATCAGTAGAATTCAAATTGGATGGTTGAAGTGGAGGAATGCATCGGGCTTGCCCTCAAACTTGAGGGAAAATTCTATAAGACGTTGGTGAGACCTGCAAATGCTTTATGGTATAGAATGTTGGCTATTAAAAGAGAAGCATAGTATTAAGATAAGTGTTGCAGAGATGTCGTTGGATGAGTGGCTTTACTTTTAGAGATATGATATGAAATGAGCATATATGTGAAAATGTTGGAGTAGCTCCTGTAGAAGATAAAATTAGAGAGAGTTTCCTTAGATGGTTTGGTCGCATAAATGGCATCCTTTCGATGACCCGGTTAGAAAAGTAGTGTGGGCTCCGAAAATTCGGCCTCGGCTGACACAAGTATGGCCTTTCTAGTTGGTCAAAGGCTCTGTTGAAATTTGGGCTCCATTTGATAATGTTGTCTCATTCTCTGTTCAGTTATGCTGCTTTGTATTATGTTGGGTTGCATTGTATTGTCGAATAAAACGACTAATTGTTTGATAAAAATTACTATTAATATTGCTGTTTAATTTTTTGAAAGAGCCAAAGCTCTTTGCACTAAATATTTAATTTACGAAACATCAAGAGAATATTTTAAGTGGCCTTACTTTTTTAAGGCTTATCTTGTAACTAAGGTTCTGTTTGGTAATACGTTTTGCTACATGCTTGTGCTACTGAAATTCAACAAATCACATTTTCAATGTATGGTAAGGAGTGGGCCAACTTTTGTTAGAAGTTATTTTCATGGAAGCCAGAAAACATCTTGTTAGGTCTGCGGGTTGGCTAGCATTCTAGAATAGTGCCTTTCTAGATTTCAAATTTTCAGCTTTTTTAGACGAACATGGCTTGATTGGGTTTCAAAATATGGTTTGTTTAGAATATCATTAAATTAGATTTATTAGTTTATTATTAAAAAAAGTAAACTAGTTAGTCATTTTGTGTGTGTGATAAACTAGTCAGTTATTAAATTAGATAATTAATTAAATTAACTAGGGATAAAATATGTTATTTAGTCATTAATTAATAATTAATACAATAAATTAGTCTGATTAGTAATGAAATTAACTTATTGATAGTTTAATTAGGCTAATTAGAAATTAATGAGACAACCTAATTGATCTTTAATTATCATAACAATAAGAGTATAGTTTTTTGTAAATTAAAATTAGTTAATAAAATATGTAACATAATTAATTAGTTTTAAATTAATGTTTAAGATATAAATAATTGCTAATTAATTAAGATGATATATTATTAGGATACTAGGGAATCTTATGCAAATATTAATTCAAAGTTAAATAGCATTAATATTTAGCTATTAACTTCTAAAATAAGTCAAACTTTAATGGCCAAAATGTTGATTTACAGCTGCCTAGGAGGGTGGGTTTTGTTGTGTGCATGTGTGCGGCGGCGGCGGCTGGGAGGGGGGTGGGTGGGTTTGAATTACTTAGGTTATTCTAAAAAAAATTTCAATTAAACTTTAAATGTCAATATTACCAATGTACAATATGATGCTCGGAAGAAAATCATCAACACAAATAATAAATAAAAGTGCAAGGGAAGGGACAAAATTACATACGAACATGTAATGATCTTTACATGGTTTGATCGAAGTATACTTCTTAAAGATGAATAAAAATAGTCCTATTATGAGACTATTTTAATTCTTTTTTAAAGATGTAAGGGATTAAAAATGATCCTTTAATATAATTAAAAATCATTTTGGTCATTCATAAAAAGTTAAAAGACCATTTTGATCCTTTTCATTTGCCCCCCTCTTCCTCTTTTATCTGCCGACCTCTCTTGGGGATATTTTCTTTTTTTGTAAATAGTTTTGATTTATTTTCATTGTAAGACTTCTGGAAAAGTCTATATATACTTGCATACTTTGTATAAAATCAAGCAATAAAATTGAAAGCAGCTTTTCTATTTTTCTAATTTTCTACATGGTATTAGCGCAAGGTTAAAGTTTCATTTTTCCGACCTTTGTTCTATTTTCTTATTGTTGGGATTCTTCATTCTCTTCATTATGGTTGATTTCTTTGACTTGCTTTCCAAGGAGTCAACCATTATGAATGATAAAAGTCATACTGATGGAGAACTCTAGGGGTTACACCTCATATTGCTTGAAAGAGAAACGGTTTGAAGTAGTCTCAAATTATGAAAACCTTTTAGAAAGGAAGGGAAAGATCCATCACCATGTGGATCCTCCTATGGAGTTGGAGAACAAAAAGTTTGTACTTTGGGATAAAACAAATCTAATGATTATGATATGCTCGTGGAATATCATGATGCTTGAAATCAATGGATCATATATGTTCTTGTTTACGAGAAAAGTAATTTGGGACATCGTCAAACAAATGGACTAAAAAATAAAGGATGTTGCCCTATTTATGAGATCCAAATTAAGTTATCAACAGACCATCTTAAAAATCAATATAATCAGGGGTAGAACTAGGTAGAGTTTAGGGTTGGCAATTGCCCACCCTAAAATTTTTTTTCTTCCTTAGAAAAATAAATATTTTAATTATTTTGCCCACTTTAAAAAAATGCAGTTGCCCAAATTCTAAAAAAATATATATTTTTTCTATTTCATACATAAGATTATATATTTTATAATCAAATTTTGCTCACTCTTAAAGAAGAGACTGGTTCTACCCCTGAATATAATAAAGGTTTAATGAATTGAATTGGATTAATGCCAATAAATTAAGATGACATGTTGCAGTGATACAAAAATTTTCAAGCAATTTGTAAAAAGAGAAAGGGTGGCATGACTTCGACCAAATTCATGTCCAAATCCTAAGCAAATAAAACCTACCATCACTAAATGAGATTTTTTCTTCATACGAGCCGAAAAAGAAAAAAAGGACAGTATGCTCGATGCTTGGATCTATGAAACATATGCCATAACAAACACCAAACCCTAAGGTAAGGGTTTTACTATTCCAGGCTCTTTCCCTAAAAACATACAAAAATTTTCTTCCAAAGGTAATGTATGATGCAACCACTGTAAGATAAAATAATATATCAAATATAAATTTTAAAAATTTCATGAAAATTTCTCAGGTTATGATGGAAATAAAGAATATCATCAAAAGAGCTTGTCTATCTTGTGGAATTAGAAGGCCTCAATTTAAGAGAGATCGAGAAACTCAAGAATTCCCATAACTCTTTGGAAAAATCATCCATATCATGCTCTTTACCTCACAATAATATGACCCTTGCTTGTTGCATTTTCTGTACCATAAATAATTTCCTTCACATTGGATCCTAGATTCAAGAGCGCGGGCTCTGAAAATTCGTTCCCATCATCTCTGCGGTCCCTCTTTCTTTTTTGGGCCGTCAAGGAGAGTTTTAACAAGTAGGTTCCAAGAAAAATTTTCACAAGGCAGATTGAGTTTTAAATAAGACACTACCGAAAGATTTTGCCCTCATTTTGCGAAAACTTTATGATATGAGTTCAAATTTCCTATGGAACAAGCCCCTATAGTTAATTACCTCTCATGATAATGAGAGAGAACTTTCAATTAAGACTAGTTGTCAAACATATATATATAGTATCTGGCATATAGTAGCAACATGTTTAGGTAGTGAATATTTAGCATTTAAAATTAGAAATTCACCACCTTGCACTTAAAGCTGATGGTGGGGGAATAATGATAGACACGATCAAGATCCCATGGTTTCGCCGTCCCGAGTCATCATAATCCCTACTCTACTTAGTCAGAGGGGTAGTCAACCCAACCTGATCGAAGGATCATTGTCAGCAGTCATTGGTTGCTTTCAATGATATCTTGTAGACATGGAGTGAATATTTGTTTCTAATGGAACAAATATGAGTCCACCTTAGCTGACAAGGGCTTTGTACCCTATCGGTCATATTCTATTGATTCATTATAGAAAGATTTAACGCAGTTGGGAATATATGGTCTTTGGCCATGATCGTAATTTAATGATACCATTTAGCATCAAAATTATTCTGTCATAACCGTTTATCTCTGATGCCATTTTTGCGACGAAACCATTGGTTGGAGGACATGTACCACTTTCTTACTGGCAAGAGATGATTTGAGAATGAATCATAGTGATATTTTCGACTAGACATTTACTCTTTGTTAGTTGACGTGATTTTTCAACTTGTCTACCTCAGCAAACTATTGCGGAGGGTGGATGAGTATTTTTTGTTTTAAGTGTTTAGGTATTTTATTTCAATTTTAAACATTTATATTATCGATAGACATGTAGCTTTAGATTTTAGAAAGATCTTTGAACATTAACCCCTCAGGTTGAGATTTGCATTCAACACGGTTATCATCGGGAATGACCTTGAAATTATTATACAATTTGTTATGATCTCTAACATGAAGTTCAAATATGTTCACTTGTTTAATAGTTTGAAATTTATTTTTATGAAATATCTTAATATCTTTATTTCCTGTACATGCTGTTTTAAAAATATAATTATATAAATAATATATTTATCTTTATAAATATTATAATTTAACCAACGAAAGTACTTATCAAACCAGCTAGGATTAAAATGTTCATTATTTTTAGAAAAGTTATGATTACGAGGCTGATATGACTTTTTTTGTAAATATGATCGTCGAACTTGATCTCAAATATTAGGACTAAATTCACTGATAAGAATTCGTAATCATGAATTTGATGAAAGTTTTTTTAGATGTACTTCAAAATTTTCTAATGAATCCCTAATGGATCACATTGTAATCCTTAATCCTTAGTAGATCTCTTCACTTGATGTGCATTATCTTGTATAAGTACCTTCTTGCACCATGATATACCAAATTTAGGTAATCAAATCATGATCTAGTTTTCCATTTGACTCTTAATTTCATGGTTTATCATATCTTGATTGAGCTAACTAAGAAATAAAAATTATATCATTGGACACAAAACACATTTTTAGTGTTGTTTCCAAAACATGAAAAGAAGGAATGAATTCCTCATAGCATTGCAACAGATATATCATTTCCTAGCACCAAGTAATTAGTGTCAGAATTAGCCACCATGGAAACTTGTTTGAAAACAGTGAAAGGAATTAAAGATATAGAAAGCATACCTTATGTCAAAACTGTACATGCACCTATATGTTTGAAGAAGAGCTAAGAGCTTGCTCATTTTGAAATCACATGGCCGCAAATCTACTGATGCAACTGCACAACTTCGACAAGCCCACCTATCATTCATGTTCACATTAAAAAGAAAATTTTACATGAGATTATTGATCAATTATGGTTCATTTCTAAACTTATCAGAGCTCAAGCTGAGAACTCAGTAAAATATTTCTCGCATGGTAAGAACTCATTCGAAGACTAAGAAAGCTGCATATAAAAGCATCTTTAAAATTAAGTCAAACTATCTATTGAGTCCTCAATAAAGGATTAAAAAGAAAAGCTTCCTTGAAAACTATCAAAGCTGCACAGGAAAGCACCTTTCAAATTGAGTCAGACAGGCTATAAGACAAAATCCAAAATTTACATATAAGCTAAATTGGACGCGAGCAAAATTTGAAGGCAGTTGGGATGTCAGTAGCCTTTAAGGCCAATTTTACAATAAGCAATGGCAAACATGAAGGTCTCCAACCTTTTTGGGCTATAAGATATGTGAATGAGAAGCCTTTCACTTGTTTCACTTTCCAAACTTGGTATGGCCTGCGCAACAACCCTGATTGTCTGCAAAATAGTTATGCAAATCTTCAGACAACGGACAGCCATGAAAAAAACTATTTTTTAGGAAGCATTCACAATGAGAGAAGCCAATGGCTGCCTTTTCAAATGTTTGATGACTAAATTCCTATTTGCCCCACTACATAGGTTGGCTACATGAATCCTTTTTATCCATTGTGTCATGTTAAAAGACAAATTCTCGTTTAAATCTAATAATAAAAGATCATTTCTAATATTTCTAACCCAGTTTTTTTATGTCTACTTCTACCTTTCATAACATAAGTCAAATCTAATACCTCTACTTTCCTAACCGGGTCATCGAAAGGCTGCCGTTTTATGTGACCAAACCATCTAAGGTGACTCACTCTAATCTTATCTTCCACTGGTGCTACTCCAACTTTTTCACGTATATGCTCATTTTGTATCCTAACTCTGAGGGTAAAACCACTCATCCACCTGAGCATCCTCATCTCTACAACACTTAACTTAGTATTATGCTTCTCTTTTAATGACCAACATTCGATACCATAAAGCGTTGTAGGTCTCACCACCATTTTATGTAACAACAAAATTCTCACAAAACAATGAAGCAATTTCATGATGTGAGACTTGAAGTACAATTCAAACGGATAATTTGAAGAAAAACTTATAATATTGAGTTTATGTGGGGTGGCTACAATTATTTGTAAAAATAGTTGTAGAATATTATTGGAAAAGCATATTTTTAAAAGTTTCTGTAGGTATTATAATTTTTTTTTTTCTTTTGACAAAGTTAGATAATAGCTTTCTTATTATTATAATACTCTAGTATATGTGATAATAAAAAAGTTGTTTCTCATCATAAAAAATTTCCAAAAAGCAACCAAAAAAATTTATAGCAATATAAAAGTGTGGCAATTGCCTAGAAAAAAAAAAAAAAACTAACCTAAAGAGACAAGCAGTCAACCAAAATTTGTCAGAAGATAATTCTTTGGTGTAATATATAGTTTTTCTTTGGCAAAATGAAAAGAAAAATGCAAAGACTTCAAAAAAAATAAAAATTCCTCAACAACAATGAGATATACCAATATTAATCTTCAACAAATGAGATCATCACTTTTAGGGGAGTTCTGAAAATCTTTGTGGAATTTGAAATCAATATTAATCTTCAACAAAATTCATCCTTTTTCATCATAAGATTTCTAATTTCAGGCAATCAAATGAGCCCTAAGCCACGCAAATTCCATGAAAATTGAAATTCTAAAGAATCATCCCAAATACCTGGGCAAGTAGTGAAGCGGAGGTGGCCTTGAAGGAGGCCTCCGAGGACCAAATGTAGATCCCAATAACACTCATACCACCCAAAAGCATTCTTGAAACCTGAAACATACCCGAATTTCATGGTTTATCATATCTTGATTGAGCTAACTAAGAAATAAAAATAATATCATTGGACACAATACACATTTTTAATGTTGTTTCCAAAACATGAAAAGAAGAAATTAACATTATTCCTCATAGCATTGCAACAGATATATCATTTCCTAGCACCAAGTAATTAGTGTCCATTAGAATTTTCCACCATGGAAACTTGTTTGAAAACAGTGAAAGGAATTAAAGATATAGAAAGCATACCTTATGTCAAAACTGTACATGCACCTATATGTTTGAAGAAGAGATAAGAGCTTGCTCATTTTGAAATCACATGGCCGCAAATCTACTGATGCAACTGCACAACTTCGACAAGCCCACCTATCATTCATGTTCACATTAAAAAGAAAATTTTACATGAGATTATTGATCAATTATGGTTCATTTCTAAACTTATCAGAGCTCAAGCTGAGAACTCAGTAAAATGTTTCTCGCATGGTAAGAACTCCTTTGAAGACTATAAAAGATACATATAAAAGCATCTTTAAAATTAAGTCAAATTATCTATTGAGTCCTCAATAAAAGGATACCAGAAAAAACTTTCCTTGAAAACTATCAAAGCTGCACACGAAAGTGTTAGGAAATGCTTGTAGAAAACCAAGAAACCCCTTGGCTGAAATTTAATTTCAGCAAAGTAAAGACAATATTTAAGATGTAGAAAAACTAGGAGAAAAGTTTTTCAATTGATGATATAGGAAATAAAACAAGCAAGGCACAATGAATCTTCGATTTGAGAGGGGCTCTCCCAATCCCTAGCTATCGACTAAAGCCAAAGCAAACCCTAGAACAACTTATTTTCAACAAAAATCACGGATAACCCTAACCCTAACCCTAGCAACCAAAATCATACTTAAGCATACAATAATTAATAAAATCCCAAAACAAACTCCTCCATTTGAATTTTCCCTCCCAAACCTCCCTTAATTTCTTCTTAATTAGGGCTGTTGGACCCCACCCCAAGGGGGCCGAATTATGCTAGGTGGAACCCCTGGTTCCGTTGTCTATAAATTAGGCCCGATCCATGATGGACCGGTTAGACTGATCTAGGGACTAGTCTAACAGAAATCACCTTTCAAATCGATTCAAACATGTTATAGAATATATGGCACTTAAGACAAAATCCAAAATTTATGTCACAACTAAATTGGACTTGAGAAAAATTTGAATAAAAGTTGGGATGTCAGCATCCTTTAAGGCCAATTTTACAATAAGCAATAGCAAACATGAAGGTCTCCAACCTTTTTGGGCTATAAGATATGTGAATGAGAAGCCTTTCACTTGTTTCACTTTCCAAACTTGGCGTGCCCTGCGCAACAACCCTGATTGCCTGCAAAATAGTTATGCAAATCTTCAGACAACGGACAGCCATGAAAAAAACTATTTTTTAGGAAGCATTCTCAATGAGACAAGCCAATGGCTGCCTTTTCAAATGATTGATGACTAAATTCTTATTAGTGAAGAAAAAAAGCTCATTGTATATGTAACAACAAAATTCTCACAAAAAATGAAGCAATTTCATGATGTGAGACTTGAAGTACAATTCAAATGGATAATTTGAAGAAAAACTTATAATATCGAGTTTATGTGGGGTGGCTACAATTATTTGTAAAAATAGTTGTAGAATATTATTGGAAAAGCATATTTTTTAAAGTAGTCGTAGGTATTATAATTTTTTTTATTCTGAAAAAGTCGGATGATAGCTTTCTTATCATTATCATAGTCTAGTTTATGTGATAATAAAAAGTTGTTTCTCATCATAAAAAACTTCCAAAAAGCAACCAAAAAAATTTATAGCAATATAAAAGTGTGGCAATTGCCTGAAAAATAAAAAAAACTAACCTAAAGAGGCAAGTAGTCAACCAAAATTTCCAGAAGATAATTCTTTGGTGTAATATAGTTTTTCTTTGGCAAAATGAAAAGAAAAATGAGATGTACCAATATTAATCTTCAACAAATGAGATCATCACTTTTAGGGGAGTTCTGAAAATCTTTGTGGAATTTGAAATCAATATTAATCTTCAACAAAATTCATCCTTTTTCATCATAAGATTTCTAATTTCAGGCAATCAAATGAGCCCTAAGCCACGCAAATTCCATGAAAATTGAAATTCTAAAGAATCATCCCAAATACCTGGGCAAGTAGTGAAGCGGAGGTGGCCTTGAAGGAGGCCTCCGAGGACCAAATGTAGATCCCAATAACACTCATACCACCCAAAAGCATTCTTGAAACCTGAAACATACCCGAACTCAAAGGCAATGAGCAAAAATCGTCTGTGTAGCAAAAAAGAAACCCTGCCGAATTCAGGATTTCAGGGAGCTTAGCATTTCCTCTTCTTTCGGTACCTGACGAGCGTGTTCAGCCACCCACTCCCCATCGATCAAAAGAGAAGAAATCGCCTGCGCCGAGGCTTTCCCACCTTTCGATCCCTTCTTCCTGTCCTCCCTGCCTCCGCTCTCCGATTTAAGCGAGCACGCGTGGCTGCCTCCATCAGTGGGCGGAGTCGGAATCAAATCATATACAAACCCTCGCTCCAAATGGGAACTTAGCTTCCCTACTAAGATGCCAACCTGCGCATGAAAAGCCAGTTGTAACCAAGAAAGCAATTTTGTAGATGGTAGAGAAGTTGTGAACGGCAAGGATAGAGCACTTCGGTTGTAATTGAGGATCGAGAGAGCCGATCCTCGGCGGACTTCAGTCGGGTTTCCTCGCCGACGACGGACTTCACCATCGGAGCAGGAGACGATCGGCGGCGGTCTAGCCCTCGTCGTATGAATCACAGAGTCAGGTCGAGCCCTAGCGGATGCGGAAATTTTTATAAGAGTAACTTTGGGTTCGGACGAAATGGGTTCGATTTATTTTTAAACGAGTGTTATATAAATTTATGGGAAAATTTTAAGAATGAGCATAGTCATTAACATAAATTAATGAAAAGAGCATGAAATACATAAAATTTAATTAGGAATAAATTTATCATTTAACTTGGTATATTCAACAGAATGCATCAAAACGGTTGGTGCATTTTAAATACGTCAAATATCTTGGTACATTCTGAATGTGTCAACATTTTTGGTGCATTTTATTGAATGAGTCAAATTTTTTGTAATAATTTAAATATGTAAAATAAATTTTCTTAAAAAAATATGAAAATTCTAAAGTTGAGCGTTTTAGTACTAATCTAGTGAGCGTTGCGGTGTAGGCCATGAATAATATTTATGTATATATATTTATAAATGTCCTTGTCTCATCCCATCGATTTCTTTACTTGATTGCTTGGCCAATAAGAAATTGAAGGAGGAAAGAAGAGAGAGGAGAGAGAAAATTCTTTGGATCATATTTATCAATCATTCATGTTACAAATTTTATTATATTCATTGTAAGTGAATAATCTATTATTTCTGTTTTTAATGATTTTTATTTCCAAAGATTTTATTTCTCCTACATTTGTCAAAAATACATTATCTCCTGGTTTCATGAGCTTTCATGGTGTAATTTTGGATATGTTATAGATTTGATCATTCTGAACGATTTGATATAATTTTATTATATTTTAAATGAAGTACTGAATGATATCATATACATGATATAATAACTCCTCATGATATCCTATTGATATACTAATTGGGAGTCATAAGGAGATGAATATTGATTGAGAGTTATAACTTATAAGTGATATATCATCAAAAAAAGTATCTTGATTGGGCATGAATCTCGATGCAAAAATTAGGTTGGAAACTTCAAAAATTAAATCTTGGATCATCTGAACTCCAATTTCAGCAAACTTACAATCGAACTGAGCGTCTCGGAAATACGAACCCAACGACACCAAATTCAACTAAATCCGAGCTCAAAATGGTTTAAATCAAAGACCCGAAGCACATTCGGAAGGTTCAATCCATAATCTGGATTACCAAACATTTTCCAAATATGGCATGCTTATAGTCGAATTGAGCGGCTCGACGAGAAAAATCCAACGAGCCAAAGATCGTCAAATTTTGATATCATTAGAGCCTTTAAATACCCGATAAACTATCCATGATCAAGGGATTTAACATCGACTGTCCATTTAAACCACTCCCAATTTACCCCCGATCTTCCTCCTATTTACTGGCCATGTCATCATAAAAAAACTATAATTATTCCCTCATTTCTTTTAAGAGGGGACCCAAGCAAGAAGAGATGAGAAAAAACTATAGTTATGCCCGATAAGTACATGATCAAGATACTATTTAGATACACTTATTAAATATTTGAATACTAATACTGGTACGAATGTTGTACTGATATTGTGACTGACACTGATATTATTTTATGTAATTAACACTCTTTAAAATTATTAATTATGATACTAATATTATTATTGAGATTATGTTTGTTGACTGTTGCTAATATTATGATTGATGATATAATGGATTGAAATATGATAAACCATAGAAGGATAAACTGATATTGATAATCAATATATACACTTATGTAGATATTTCTGGTGAATTGGTTGTTTTAAAAGCTATTTGTTAATTTTAAAACACAAAATTTATATTTTGGATTTTTTAGTAATTAAAAAGCAAGCAATACTTTCACGTGATGTGGAAGCTAATAAATTAATCAAATATTAAAATAATGGTGATGATAGTCTAATCAAAGTAACAAAAAATTAATCATAGTTTTTTAACAAGCACTTATCACATAAATAAAATGCAAAAAAAGTAAAGTGCAGAAAAATAAAAATCAAAATCAATACACCATAATTTTATAGTGGTTCAACAAAAAAAAGACCTACGTCCACTCATCAGAGTCCTCATCTTCGAGTATTGTGCTAAATATTTAGTGTCTATCATTTAGCCCCCACAAGTATACAGAGAAGCCCTTACAATCTTTTCACCAACTCGGCCCGGTAGAGAACCTTGATATCTTTTTCACCCTCCCGGTAAAGGTAAAGAACCTTGACATCTTTTTCACCCTCCTATTGAAGGACGATAAACCTAGCCTCTTTCTTACCCTTCTGACGAAGGCAAAGAATCTTAACTCCTATTTCACTCTTCAGTTGAAGGCAGAGAACCTCAACGGTCCTTGAACTGATGATTTTCTAGGTAAAGCCACATAAGAAATTGAGCAAGACACTTGGAGGAAATAAGGCTGAAGCTTGCTCAGAGCAACCGTGTGAAACCCTTCAAACTCTTTCTCATTCCCAAAGCTCTCCAATATCTCTTCTCGAAGCTCACTCTCCAAAAAACTCAAACAACCAAAGACTTGAAACAGGTCTAATGAGAGAACTTAAATACAAGGCTAATAAAAAAGCTCTAAACTTCAATTCTGTCGACATTGATCGTATAATATTATTTCATATCGTACTGTACAATTAGTTCAAATAAGTTGGCTAGTACTGTAAGAAGAATAATGCACTGTATGATCAATTCAAGAAATTAAGTTGATCATCCAATACAATTTGAGCATCGTCTAATACAAATTAGTTCAAATGACTTGGATTATCATCCCGTATAATTTATGATGAATACATATCATCCCATGTAAAGATTGGGCCATACAGTACTATTGGGTACAATACGATTGATCCCAATCATCCTGTACAATATGGTTGGATCAATTAATTCAAAATATTTCTCTAATTATATGATTAATATAAGTAATATTTAATTATATTGTACAATATGATACCTATCACATGGAATAATTAGTATAAAATTTGAATTTTAAAATATTGCTTAAATTGTAATTGGCGATTGAGATATTGATTTCAACCGATAGTCTTGTACGATTTATTGTTCATTATGATTAGTTCAAATATCTTTAATTACAAAATTAACCATTTTAATGATTATTTAAATAGTTGATCGTACAATATAATATGCATTATATAGTACGATTAATTCAGAAAGTTTCACTTTTAATTTCCTTTCTATTTCACTCTCCTAAGTGTGTATGTGTACAATCACCAAGTTTAACATCCATCAAATATATGACTTAACCCAAGAAATGTATAAATAAATAAAAATAGAAAATACAGACTTTTCAAGACACTTAACCCTATTTAACCGAGTCTTGAGGTGATCAATATGCACAGTGTACGATGGACCTAAAATATTAGTGCACAAGAAACAAACAAGCAATAATAACAATAACATAGTAGAGAATTAAATAATATTTGCTATTATCAAATCAAAAGTATTGGGTCTAGATTTGCAACAAAGAACTCATTGAACACAAATTATGTGATGTTGGTTTGGACTTTTGTTTAAACTTTAGCTCAAATATGATTTGAATCATTAGGGATATCATTAAAGGGATGAAGGAGGAAAGCAATTTGTGATGGGAACTCATTGGAGCCAGAAATCAATATACTAATATTGTGTGAAGGAGAAGAGAATTTCATGAGCTTGCTAAGGGTATACATCAACAAATCGACAACTTGTAGAGGAGAAAAGGAGTTTTAGAACTTGATGAGATTATATATAAACAAATTAATGCCGTGTGAAAGAAAAGAGGAGCAAGGGAGCATGTTGGGGTTAAGCATCAACAAACCGATGATATGTGATAAAGACGAGGAGTCATTTAACTCACTAGGGGTAGATGCCCTAGAAATGAGTGACATAAAAGATGAGTTCTTGAGGGTGTTGGGGGTAGGCATCGACGAGAACCACTTGGTGTAAAGAAGAAGAGTTTATGTTGATGATGTTAAATCACTTGGGGCAAGAATCTACTAGATAATCGATGTGTGAAGCAGAATGTAAGTTTATAATGAAAAAGCGATTGGAGCAGGCTTTGATGGGGCCAATGGGGGTGTGAGGAGATCCTCCATGTGAACCCACCTCATTGGATCCTAGTTCAAACAAACCTTAGTTCAAGCACATGTCAACATGTTTGAACTTGATTCAAAGCAAATGTTTGAATCAGATTCGAACTTGAGTTTAAAATTGCTATGAAATAAATCAAACTAATTTGAACTTAGTACAAATGATTCGCTACTCAATGAGAAATTTGTAAACATAAGATGTTATCCCTATAAGGATAGTTTTGATCTAGCTATTATTTTGGAGTATATTTATCCATGTGAAAATATATTTAATCATTCAATATATAAATATATGATAAATCTATAATATATAAGCAAAATCGCTCAAACAATCAGAGGCGGAGAGAAGAGGGGGATCGTGGGGGCATGTGCCCCCTATGAATTTTTTTTTACCTGTACAGAATTGGGCAGTTTAGGCGGTGCGAATGATTCATATTCAGAAGATAAAAAATCACTCCAACTCCTCGCGACGTCGCCGGCATAGAATATTTTGTTTGCTCTACGTGACGAGTCCAGCACAGTCGCACATGAAGCTTTTGTCCAACTAGAAGCTCTCGTCCGACACTCCGACTCCTCGTCTCTCTCTTCTTTCGGCGTCTTTAATCCAGCCGGCAGCACAGTTAAGATTTTTTTTCTTTGTTGTTTTCTATAGTTTAGTTGACAGTTAAAATTTCAAATTCCTTTAATTTATTTAACAAAGAGAAGTTAATTGAAATGACAAACTTATATTCAAGCGATTTCACTCATTCGGATTTGATGATTCTTGATAATCAGCTGAAAAATTATATTATTGATATGTGGTTTGATGTTCAATTTTCACTCATAAAAGATATATGAAGTTTTGTTGAAAAAATGGTTCAGAGCAGGAAGAAAATACTATATCCCATTATTTTTTAAACTATTAAAACTAGCATTAGTATTACTTGTTGCTTTATCTGGAGTTGAAAGAACTTTTTCTGCAATGTTTATCATAAAAAATCGACTACGCAATTGAATTGAAGATCAGGGAATGAACGATATCTTAATCG